TGCTCCTTTCTTTTGGCTCATGGTGCAAGGGAGTAGAGGGAAACAGATGAACATAAGAAACCTCGTGATAAGACACAATAGATTTACATGTGTATACCCCAACTATTACATCTAGCAAGATTAGTTCTGAATCAGATAAAAAAGTGATGCAAAGATAAACTAGAACAGCACATGTTTAGAACAAGGTAAATGAGCTAACCATCAAGCTTAAGAAATTCTGTCCCAAGAAAAGCAACATCTTGGCGCGCACGGGCTTCCAATTTCAATATGCTACTGAGGAAACAAATAGTTAACAGTTACTTCCATGAACCTAAAAACTATGGTATCTCTACTGAACAGTGAACATTCTTTTGTATAGGTGGCTTCAAAAACAACTAAAGAGAAGTGGCTTGATGAACAATTATGGAAGTACATCTCGAATAGAAACAGTACAATACCACAAGTCATAGGACAGTACCGGGAGAGCAAGACAATGTCGTGACGAGCCCTTTCATTTACAAACTTTGCATCATTACAAACAAATCTACAAGCTTCAGCCAGGCCCCGACCAGAATTACTGTAGTAATCTTTCTCTTCTTTAGTACGTACACTGCACATATTACAGAATCTCTGAAATCTGAGTTCGAACCATGGCATAAATTTTTGGAAAAAATAAGAAGCACCATTCATATCATGCAAAAGATAAAGGGCTGGGTCGACCAAGAAATAAAGTGACAACAGAGGTGGGCGGGCCAAAAAAAAAAAAAAAAGGTGACAACTGAGAGTCTGGGAAAGAAATCAAGGGTAAATGTTCACAAATGGTACACAGCATAAAAAGGTAACACAATATATGAAACGGAAGAAATGTTAAGTAAATAATCATTGTTCTTCTACCTTGTTAAATCTGAAACATCCATGTAAGTTGTAACGCATTCTTTCTCCTCAATATTATTTGATCCTGATGATTTGCACAAGAAAGATCTCTTGGAGATAAGGCTGACAGGATTTCTACACATGCACCCAAAAATCTCATTGGATAAGGTTGATCCCTCTACCAAGAGACATATATGATTCAGTTGTCCATGTTGGACTCCATATCTTGGAAGTTGTACCCTGTTGTTCCTTGTGGACATCAAGAAATTAAGTTTTTCATGTGACCTACAGCCAATTGTCCGATAAGTCACGATAGGACCATTTGAAACCTTGTTTGCAGCAAGTGCCATCAGGACTTCAAAATCAGAATCAGATAGGCCTTGCTTTCATAGCACTACAGACATCTCAAGCCTGTATTACAAGCAAGCAAATTAAAATTTAAAAAAAAAAAAAGGAAAACACAGAGAGGGGAATAAACACTTAAGTCCACGATGAAATCAGGGATTTTGCAATAACACAAAATCTTTGATAAGAAAAGGCCCCCCCTTCCTTATGGGATTGGGACTAAGAAGAATGGTTGGGGAACCAAACATCCATATCATTCATACTTCGGATATCTCACTGAAGATTAATGAAGTGACTAATAGGTTCGACATTATGCTTGAAATTTTTATTAATAGTCACTGTAATTTATTTCAATATATTTTCTCCCTATGAATCTATCTCTCACCGAACTCTGAGAAAAGATAGACATCCCATTGTCACATGTAACTTATCAAAGACATAATTTTGTTAATCTGTATAAACCAAAGAGAAGTCAAAAGCATGCTAGACTTTCACACGTGAAAGCCAAGGCTTGCTCGAAACCAATTATTTGCGAAAAGAAAAATTGAAAAGGCCTAAGCCAGAATGAAAGAAACATTTCAATCGATTTGAAACTTCAGATGAAAAATTATAAACTCCCCGCTCATGTTACTTACTAATTACAACTTAGATCGTTATCAGTTTTAGATGCTACCGAAAATTCTTGTCTTAATGGAATCAGTTTAGGCAATAAAAGCCCTGTACTTATCCAAAAAACTTACTGAGCTAAATATCATGCATCGTTCTAAGTCCAAAAATGGAATGAGTCGACGGTCTAAGATTCCATCTCCCAGCCCGGTAAAAAGACTCAAATATCTTGCATTACACGACTTCAATCAAGAAAATGGCCTAATCTTTGATGTTTTCCCTCAACAGAATATATGGCATATAGAGGAATATCATCTCCAACCACTGAGGGACAATTTTCAAATCCACACTATATTTTGATAAGTAAAACCACTCAAACTTGAAAATACCCAGCTATCATAATCTCTCCGGCAACATTCTACATTCAAATTAGGCAGATAATCAAATTTTATTCCATCAGCATCGGGAGTGTCGTCTTCAATATGATTAACTGAGATTCAGTTGAGATGAAAGAAAACAGAACTGCACATCAATAATGAAAATAAAACCCCGTAAAAATACAAATAACAATACCCATTGAAGAAATAGAACGTCCAACTCCAGAAACGCAGTCAAGAAAGCAAGAAAGATGGACGTTAGGAACTGACCTTCGGCGAACTCTCTGGAAGGGAAATGCCGAGATGTACGACGTACAGTATAAAGAGTGTGATGGGGGAGGAGGGGGCCCATAACGTTGGGGGAGAAATGAGAACCACAGCTGAACCTGTGGCTCGTCGAATGCCAACAACAAACAATCGCGGGGGATTTTTTTTTTAATTTCTTTCTCGGTCACAAGCATGAAGCATCATGGAATTTTACAAATTACCTGATCTCCCAAGCCACTAAAATTTGTTAACATCAGTTACAGTTAGACATCTTTATCTTTGTCAAGTTTACAAGTGAAGATTGAGACGAACAAATCGAATTAGATAAAACAGTGGAGTTTCTTACTTCTTTTCCTCAACTCAGGTCCTGTCAATTTTTTATTTTATGCAAAACTTAGAGGTAGCAATACAGGTAAGCTTAAAAGGATCAATCCTACAAGGTTCAAATTTTAAAAATATTATAATTTGTTAGATCCGATCTTTAAGCTAACAGGTTTAGGACTGATTCGCGGGTTTTCAGCCCTTTTAAGAAAAAATATTATTTTCATATTTCTCATGTTTTTTATCAAAAAAATAAAAATAAACCAATAAAATTATTAATAAAAGATATAAATATAAATAAATTTAAGTTACAAATATAAAACATCATCATATATAAATATCTATTAACATCCAAGAACATCTAAAACATTTATTAACAAAATAATAACATTCAAAAGTTTTATCTATAGTGTAAATATACAATAAACAAACACTATTATTAATCTTTTAAAACTTCATCATCATTATAAGTATACTTTTCTTTTGTAACAAAAATATCAAGTTTTTTCCTTTATAGAAATTTTACTTTTAAATTTTACAATCTAGTTATTATTTTACTTTAGTTTGAGAAACATTGTTGTTGAAACTTATAAATTTCTAATGCAAATTATAAAATCACAAGTTATATAAGTATAAAAATACTCTGTTGTCAAATATTATAGTTTAAAAATATCAACATATATAATATAGGGGAAATTGCAAAAAAAGACCTTGAAATTGTAAAAACGCAGATAGGATCCTTGACAACTTCACTTTGGGTTTTGACAACTTTATTATTGTCAAAAGCTATAATGAAGTTGTCAAGGGTCTCTATTTACGTTTTTACAATTTTAAGGTCTTTTTTTTGCAATTTTCCCTATAATATATATCAAATCGTTATTAAAATCCAAATTAACCTATTGTTTAGAAATTTAACTAGACAAATTATTGTCTAAAACTAAATAAATCAAACCATTTTGTAAAATTTAATTTTAAAATGATAAAAATAACTAAATATTTAAAATATTATTAACAATGTAAAAATTTAATAATATTAGAATTATAAAAAAAATTATAAAAATATCTAAACGGGCTGGCCCTCTGTCCTACAAGGCTAGCCTGTTTAAACCCTTAGCCTTATAAGGCTAGCCCTATAGGGCTTGTGTTTTCATTTGAATGGAAAAATTTCAAATCCGATCCTCCTAATTTTTAAGCTTAAACGAGTCGACCAAACAGGCTCAATTCATTTTTTTAGCTAGCAAAAATGCACCTACGCATGTCAATATAAATATTTCAAAGTCAAATTTCAAATTGAGACCTTATCTAAACGTCTACAGGTAATGCTATCACAAAGGTAATGTAGTATTGACAGTCTCTGATCGATTTCTATGAGTTTCATAATAACACGGTTAAAAATTTTAGTCTAGGTTTAGAGCAAGTTGATTTTCATGTAATATTAATAATCTTAATATTTGAGTCACAAAAGACTCGTTTTGTTATATTAATTACATTGGATCTTATATTTACAACCAAAAAAATACTTTGTTTTGATTAAATTTGTCAAGTTTTGTTGGCTTTTTTTCAGTAGGTACATGTATCTTCTATTAGAGGTAATCCTATTTAAAATACTGTCAGGTACTAAATATGAGTATATTTCTCATTAGAGATTCAAACTTCTATCTACCAAATTATAAAAAATTAACCCTTTTTACTAGATTCAATGCATAGATATCTTTTTATTAGAGATAATCATGTTTGATAGATTATTGGATACTATGTAGACATATTTTGTAGCAAAAATTTGAATATTAATTTACTGTGAGGATTAATTCTTTTTGTTAAAGCTTTGGTGTTAAAAACCCTGAGGGGTTAGGTCAGCTGGTTGGGGCTGTCCTAGCTTAACCACAGGTCTCGAGTTCGAGCTGTGGGAATGCAGCACCCTGAGGGGCCAGAGGGCGCCGACCGAAAGGTTCTTTGCAAGCCCTCGATCTGGATTAGTCTGGGGACGTTGTCACGGCTGAAAAACGCCCATTTTTCTGGAATACCGGAGGAGAAATCCAAAAAAAAAAGCTTTGGTGTTAAATAGCTGAAACGGCATTTTTTAGGCATAAGAAGGCCCGAAAGAGAGGCTTTTCTTGGGGGGAGCGGGGGTGGTTTTGGGGTGCGGCAAAGGCTATGTTTGGATCTTCGTTGGAGATGAAAAAAAGCATATAAGAAAGTGTGCAACTGACTTATGTTGCCTTGCTATTCGGGATGGATATAAAATCTCTGCCTTGCTAAACCCCTAAAGTTCCCCGCCTGTTGAGCAAGGAGCGAGCGAGCGAGCGAGCATGGCATCCAAGCAGAAGAGGAAAAGCAATGGTCTGTCTGACGTGAAAACCCTGGGGCTTCAGCTTCTGTCCACCCGTGCTCACATCAACAACCTCCCTCTTCTTCTTTCCTTTATTTCCCCTACTTCTCCTCCTAATTATGTCGTCGAATCCCTTCTTTCTCTCCAGTCTTTCTTTCTTCCCCTCCTCCCCGACCTTCCTTCATCTTCATCGTCCCCCCTTGACATATCGAGCCATGACCCCCAACTCATATACCGCGTTTGGATCCGTTCCAAATTCGATGACTTCATTAAGTCTCTTGTTCACGTTTTCGTGTCCCCACAATCCGACGAAACACTTAAGGTGAGTAGCTGAATATCATTTTTCTCATAAAGGAGAAGCTTTGTTTGTTATTTCTGATTTTTGCGTCGTTTTTTGAGTAACGTAACAGGAGGTCGTGTTAGATGCTATGATGGAATTTGTGAAGGTGGCAAATGGTGGGAAGTTTTCCTCTTCTCTATATCACAAGCTTCTGCATGGTATTGTAAGTCATTGATCTGCAGTATTGTAAGTTTTTCTTTTTCCCGCTTGCAACATTGGTGGCATTGTCTGATTGAATAGGATTTATTAATTTCAGGTTCACTCTTCTGATGAAGTCGTTTTTCCGGTGGAATTGCTCTCATCAAAGTATTTCGGATATATGGACGTCCGGTATAATTATGTTGCCGTGCTTTCCTTCTGGTTGAATATACATATGTAGTTCATATCTAATAAACAATTTAATTTATTGAAGAAAGGAGAGTATTGAATATTCTAAAAATTATGTTAAACCGTATGCATCAATTCATAATGGCTTTGAAGTGCATCAATTAGTTCATATAAAAAGTCCCAACCATTTACATTACATATGTTTTGTCTTTGTTGTACAGTCTGCACTGAATTACCGGAAGCAATTTGCTCTTTTTCATAATTTCAGATATTCCGTTGCATCTATTTGAATCTTCATTAATTCTGCCCATTAAATACATAACTGACGTCAATTAAAAGGTTGAGCTATTCTGCTGAATTAGGATTCTCCTTGATACAGTTACTTTACATATATAAGCCTGGGAAGGTTTGCTAGGACATTGGAAGGAAAAGTTATATCAGGTACTTTTATTGTCCTGCCTCTTTTAGTCCTCTCGGCATGTCATTCCTGCAAAGGGCCTTGCAAATCGTCTCTTTGTTGTTCTAACCTTATGAGATGGTCCCAGAGGAACGTTTCTAGTAGTCCTCTTTTATCATTTTCTCTTGAAATTATGAATGGTTTTCTTTTGCAATTTCTGCTATCTGACTAATCTCCATATGATAGCTTAGTTGTTTGTCATTGTCAGGTTTTAAACTTGCAAAAGAAGATGGTATCAATGAAAGTCCACTGAACCCAAGGTTAGTATGGCCTGTACCATTACTTTGTTTCTCCATACTTTTATCCCTTTCCATTCTTCTATCAATTGGTGCGGATTATCATGTAATTTGTCGTCAATTAACTTTGTGTGGGATGCTCTTTTTATTATTGTAATGCCATTTGAGTATGATTAGTTTGATTCTATTGCCTCGTTTCCTTCTAGAATCTTGGAGAATTGAGCTTCCTGACCATCTTGTATAAAATTGATTAAATTTCCTTGTCCCTTTAAAGCACAAATACTCACACGGACACATATATGCTAAAGTTAGAAAATACAGAAGATGACACGACATTTAGTTTTTTAAAGCTCTCTGTGAGGGATATACTTCTAGAGGAAAACACAACTGTCATTATTAAACCCCCCCTCCCCCAAAAAAAAGAAACCCAAAAAGGGATATTATCTGATTATTTTTCACAAAATTTATTATGAAGTCTTCGGTATGACATTGTATAAAATAATTTATCATGTAAGATAATACTGTCTAAGGTTGATGTATTGTGTAATGCCAAGTAGAATAGAAAAACTCACTTCTTCTTTTGCTGACAAAAGCATCCTTTACTAAGATGTATGCTGTATTTGTCCAAACAGTTCTATCATTTAAAGAAAAGTTAAAGAAGTTAGAGCAAAATAATTGATCATGGTACGCCCAAAAGGAGCCTGGTAGGCACCTGGGGTAGCATGGTGCCTTGCTTGCTTTCAAACCAAGCTTCTCCATCTAAGCTTGGTGGCATGTGCCTTGGTTGAGCCAGTGCTTACTCATTGCCTGTCCATGAAATTTTGCATCTTAATTATAATAATGATGCATGAGAGAGATTTGGCAGACAATCTTATACTTGTATTTTTTGCAGCAAAAAATGATGGGCTCTTAAAAATGTTGTATTAATTAATACAATCATGCCTTGTATGATGCATTAAATGGATCTTAAATCAAAACTTGTTGATCTATAGAAGTTAAAATTATTCATGTTTATAGAAAAGGGAAAAACTTCACTCATCTCTTTAAGAATGGTCATCTAACCTTTTATTCTACTGTTTTCCCCCTTTTTGGTCATTCGAGTTATGTTCAGCTCAAGCCTGATCCAACTTTAGCAGTTGTCTGAACCCGTTTTCTTTGCGTGTCCAATGTGTGTTGTGGCAGTGTCAGTGTTGGGCCTGCACGTGCTGCAACATACTTGAAGATAAGGTGTGACTATGCTTAAATATAACCTATCTCTAACTTGTTGACTACCAGTGTCTTCAAAAAAAATTTGCCCTCTAATAAACATGCCTTTTCATGCTGGTGATAGTTTGCAATTTTGCATGTTTTATTGCTAAAATATTTGCATTTTGCACAAAATGCTCTAATTAATAGGTTTAGCTTGGAAACACGATCATGTTATTAAATGGCATATTTTCCTTCTAGAGAGTTGTGTCTATCTCTGAAACTTCCTGATGTATAGATACACTTAACTAATCGGGTATTGATTTATTGCTATTGGCAATGTTGGAATGCACTTTTTCAGTTTGGAGCACGTCATCCGCAATATATATTGCACTATATCACATGCCTCCCCTATTCAAAGCTTGGATAACCCATCTAATTTTGAGATGTGGAGTGAATCAGGTAATTGCATGCTATTTATGTTATCGTGATTTTTCCCCAAACTCATGAATAACGAGATGTAGTGCTGTACTGCCATTGAGTGTGACCTGTGATATGCCAGCCCTGAGGTGAGATGTGGGCCGGTTGGGTTAGCGGTTTGCATGGTGTGTTTAATGTGTCTGCTTTCCTGAAAATAAAAATAATAATAGAACTTAAACAGGCCATAAAAATAATGAAATTATAATTGCTACTTACCAATCAATTTCTGGTGACCTCAAATCGCTTGCTTCTTAGTTCTTATGATCGCACCTTATTTATGCCTTCATAATTGGTATTGCCTACATTTTCATTGTCATAGGTTGCACCTTCATCATAATTTGTTGTCAATATTGTTGGGAATTCTTCTTCACCCAAGATTACTGATTCAACTGAGATGACATTGATGAATCTTATTTCTTCCATCGTATCTAAGTGCAACTCTTAGTTTAGTTCAGTGTACGTAGTTCACACTAACTCAGATACCATCAAGTGCTGAATCTGTATCAACTCACTAGCATTTATGGACTTGTACATACACTGTTGCTAAGTATATCCATGTGCCAGCCAATTCGTTTGTGATATATGTGTTAATTTTTGCATGTAGTTCTTATTGTTTATTCATTCTCTTGGTGTTTTATATTTAATTCCTACGTTGCTTTCTAATTTTTCTCTGTCTGCATGTGTGGGTGGGGTGTAGTTCTTTTAGAATATGCATAGAATACTGCTTTCTTCTTGTTCATAGAAATTCAAATTTTCTTGAATGTTAATTAATAGGTTTTTTATCCAAAGAACGTGAACATGAACAACTTTCTAAAGAAGGGGATTTAGATGATAACCAGCTGAAGACTGAGAAGCGTAATAGTAATGTAAATTTTTGCATGATTCTTGTTTCTGCAAAGTTCAACGCTACATTTTTTTTAGATTGTACGATCCAACAATTAATTTTCTTATTTTTTGTCATTCATGTAGGTGACTTCTGCAGGCACAATTGCCAAAAAGATGAAATCCAAATTTAGCAAAGCGTGGATTTCATATCTTAGGTTGCCACTTCCACTTGCTGTGTACAAGGAGGTAATCTTCATGGTTCTTGAACTTCTGTTCTTATACCTTTGAACATGCGCCTGTATTCTTGTTTCCTAAAATGTTAGGACATATGATTATTTCATATAAAATATCAAAATGCTTGTGTATTATGGCCTTTGCTGTTCTACATATTTGCCATGTCATGAGAATATTACCAAGCTGAAAATCCTGGCCTCAAATGTTTGGTCCGTACTTTTAGGTGTGTAAGTCTAGGCCCTAGCAGAATGCAGTGACTAATAATTTTCTTTTGTTCACGAATTAAGGGTGTTAGGAAAGCCTAAAACATTTGGTCCTTTTTATCATTACATTGGGTGCCAACTTTCTTTGTCTCCTATTGAAGCTGTGATTCTGGTTACTACCTTTTCTGAAATCAATGCATTAAGCTGGGTCCTTGTCTTATTTATTTCCTGAGAAACATGTTTTTCTCATTATCAGGTTCTTGTTAACCTTCACCAAGCAGTTATTCCTCATTTGACAAAACCTAATATGCTATGGTAAGTGTTTGTGATACATAAAATGTAATTTTTTTTTTTGGCAAATAAATTTAATTTTTATGTTTGTCGATGTTGACTTGTTAATGTTGATTTGTTTATGTGCAGCGATTTCTTAACAAGGTCGTATGATGTTGGGGGTGTTGTTAGTGTCATGGCTCTTAGCAGCCTTCATGTCCTGATGACCCAGCATGGAGTGGAATACCCAAATTTCTATGAAAAACTCTATGCTCTCTTAGTTCCATCTATCTTTATGGCTAAACACCGAGCTAAGTTTTTCCAGGTAATGCTCAATTAACTACTTATCAATTACAGTTGCAAGTTAAAATAATTAACAGGATGGAAGGACAAATTTGGATATTCACAGCATAAATCATCGCCCCCCCCCCCAAAAGAGAAAAACTGATGCGTTAATCAATCATTGTTTCATGGATGAGAAGTCATAATGCATTGTTACAGCTATTAGGCTTGCCTGAGGAGTTTAGTCTGGTGCAGACCTTTGAGCGACATATATTTCTCTATTTTAATGTAGATTTTGGATATATTTGAATAAAAAAGTAGCTTTTAATGTGAACAAAATGAAGAGCAAGGTACATGAAATGATAATCAAGGCATTCTCTTAAGCAACAATAGAAATAGCAAAACCGAAAATTGACTCAAAACTGATTACAGAAAAGATGCATCAAGTCAGTGTTCCCCCTAGGTGTGCGTCTCACAAGTACCTCAGAAGTAGCCTTTAAATGAGCACGGTGGGATCCTCATGTAGAACACTTCCCTGAATATCTCATATGGGAAAAGTTAAAATGTTTGAGCCAGCACGAGGGTTGATCAGAAAATATTCAATTACATATTGAAGTTTACGTTAATCTTTTCTTTTTTCTTTTTCTTTTTTTTTTTGGATGAAATGAAGTTTATGTTAATCTTGTACGTATGCTAATTGCCAATTTTTGGCCGCTTATAATTTGGCATCTGCAGCTTCTTGATTCTTGCCTTAAGTCAGCTTTTCTTCCTGCTTATCTGGCTGCTTCATTTGCGAAGAAATTGAGTAGACTGTTGCTTTCAGTCTCTCCTTCAGGAGCATTGGTTATCATTGCCTTGATTCATAATCTCTTGCGGAGACATCCTTCAATTAACTGCTTGGTTCATCGGGTGAGACACAGTACCCTTGTTTTCTTAATTCATTCTTTTACATTTATTATTTTTCCTGGATTCTGTGCTTGGCTTATGGACTTGAATTCATTGTCTGTTGGCCCCACAAAGATGCCTTTTTTGTCACCAAGAACCTAGTTTAATTAAGTGACACTCGTAGCAACTTTAGGGGCAGTTCGAATTATCCTTTGATCTTCTATCTTTTTTTGAGATATCTATTTGTGCCAAATTCTGGAAGTGCACTCCTCTTGGTAACACGTATGGTACATCTGTGAGTAAAACAATTTCTTTCTTATGTTCTGATTGGACAATAATTTATTCTATGGGCAGGAGGATGGTGATGAGGAAGGGAAAGATGAATCTAAAACAAATAAAGTCATCTCTGATAAAATTGATGACTCCAAGACTGGTGCTATGCCCTGCAAGAAATTAGGCATTGACCACTTTAACAATGGGGAAACTAATCCCAGGGATTCTTGGGCAATGAGTAAGTATCCAGTTTATTTTATTCTTCTACCAAACTTTGGCATATTGAATGCCCTAGAGTTCAGGGAATTGCATGGTTGATATAACTGAATGAAACAACTTCGGTTTGATAACATCTTGCATATTTCAGCCTGTTCCTCCAAATTGTGAATTATTTTCTTATTCCATTGGTTTGATACATTCTTCATATTTTGCCAGCTCCTCCTGGACTGCCGTTACACTGCTTGCTTCTTACATTGATGCTAGTTCATATTATCAATACATGCAAATATAGTACTAGAACTTCACTTCTAATTTCTTGTTCTTGAGAAGATCATCTCAGGTGTTTTGAGATCAAGACTAAAGCTTGTATTTGGTAGTTTCTTTGTCTCATATTCATTATCTCAGATGTTATCACTTGTATGATTAGGCAAAACAATGTAAGCTAGGCTGAAGGACTTTAGATTATGCAGAAAGATTCTATCCGCCAGAGGTCTGAATATTTGGAGCCATTTAAGCGGGGGAACTTGTGTATTAGCAAGTGTGAATATATCAATCTTCAGTACTTACTGGAATATGTCTCCTCTGCTTACTTTTTCCAGTGTGGTTGTCTGTCAAGTATATTTAGGAGGCAAAATTCTATATATCCTAAACTTTTCAATTAATGAGATGTCTTGGAGCAGGGAGTTCTCTTTGGGAGACAGATAGCATTCTTCAACACTACTGTCCTCCTGTGTCAAGGCAAGTGTGCTGATGCTGACTATTGTCCTCTTGATTTTCCTTTTTATTTTTTTCCATCGTGTTTTGACTTGGAGAAACTATACCCTTAATCTCACATGCCTTTGTTTTGCTGTTAGATTTGCTTTGTCTCTTGGGACTGATTTGACCGTGAGGGCCAAAACAAGTGAAATAAAGGTCGAGGATTTCAGTTCAGGTTCATATGCTACAGTATTTGGAGAGGAGGTGATATATGATGTTTTCTCCTTTCTCTTTTTTCCTTCAATAATCCCGCTTATATTGTTTGTACAACTGAAGAATTGAGGGGAAGCACACATCGGCTGATGACAACTTAACTATTAATTTGCAGATTAGGCGGAGGGTAAAGCAAGTTCCCCTCGCATTCTACAAGTCAACTCCATCCTCTTTGTTTTCAGCTACTGATTCTGCCGGTTGGACTTTCAAATTGGAAGCAGAAGCAGCCCAAGAGATTAATGAGAGGGATATCTCAGAACATTTTTACAGCCCTGCTAAACGGCAACGGAAAGAAGGTCCGTGATACATGTTTCGCACCAACAAAATCTGCAGCCTTGTTAAGTTGCGTCACCATTCTCTAGAAATCTGCAGATGTCGCTTCTTGGTAGGGACGGGTTTGCAATCTGAAATAATTAGAGGTGTTGATGATCACGATGGATTTTTCTGTATTCATTCAGTAGAATTTTGATTTGATTAAAGATGAGAAGGAAGTAAAAGAATAACGGTTATTGGCACTATCTACTTTTCCTTTATCCCATAACTCATATGCCATTACCTTTTGTAACTAATAAATTTAATTTTGTAAGCCTAATTTGCTTATTTCATTTAAACAAGTATATTGGGGTATTTGGATGAGCCCATAAGTGCTTTTTAAAAATATTTTTCGTAAATTGAGACAAATTTTTCTACATATTTATTTTGTTAATCGTGAAATCACTTCTAATTATGGTTTTGTTTTTATCTAAACACTTTATAAGTGTATGATCTTAAATGATGAAAATATATCTATTACATAACTTTTTTATTTGGTTGGTTGGAATGTAAAAAATGAGCTAGTGGTAATAACCTATGGTAAAAAGAAAAAAGAGGGGAAATTCACCTCATTTTTGGTTGAAGTTTTCTATAAAATAAATAAAATATACGTTTTGAGAATTTTAGTAGGTTTATGATGTTTTTAATTTTTTTAATTTTTTTATGAATATAAAGGTGTGATATGATGTGAGTGAAAAATTAAAAATATAAAAGTAAGGGATCATATGTCAAAATAATACAATAATACTAAAATACTCCTCCCGTCCTTATTATAAGAACCAATTTGACTTTTTATTTGGTCCTAATTATAAGACCCCAATCCATTTTATCTCTTATATTTGCATTTTTTCCCAAGATAATCCTTCTAATAATGAAGTTTTAACCAATATACTTAATTAGCAAAGATATTTTAAAAATGACAACACTTATTTATTATAAATAACCAACTTAACTTACAATCTCCTCAAATAAGTCAATGGGTTTTATAATTAGGACCGGAGGAGTAGATAACACCGTGATGTACTTTTCTTTCTCATCCCTCATCCCTGAAACTAATGCAAATTTCCAACATTCCATCAAAATTGAAGAGTTTGAATTTGATAGACCATTTTCCAAAAACGGATTTTTTTTCCTGAATTAAATGGAAAGGCATTGACAACCAAAAGTCATGAGCGGATAGAATTTATAATTTATTACCTATAAAGAAATTTTTATGTCACTAGATTAAAAGTTACTACCTCCGATCTTAATTATAAAACTTAGTTGACTAATTTGAAGAGATTAAAGAAATAAATTAAGTTAGTTATTTGTAATAAATAGATGATATTTTTTCTAAAAGATCCTTACTAATCAAGTATATTAGCTAAAACTGTCATTATTAGAAAGACTTTCTTAAAAAAATACATAAATATAAGAGATAAAATAGATTGAGATTTTTTAATTAAGATTAAAATAAAAATTAAATGAAATTTTATATTAAAAATTAAAGGCAGTAAGAAAGGCATATCGGCTAATGTCACTCCCCCGTATTGTTGGAGACGACTGATGACGGCTTAGTTTTAGTTAGGACCCCACGTGGCATTCAGAAGGTAGTAAACCTAAAATCGGGCCAAAAAAAAATAAGGAAAGTAAACCTCAAATTTTCTTTTTATTAGTGAAAGAAAATCTTCGTTGAACACATATAAAAGGAAAAGAAAGAAAATATGGTTGGCCAAAAAAAAAAATATTTTTTTTTTTTGTGGCTCGCCAGCAAGGGAATAACAATGTAGCAATACCGTTTGACGATGCTGTTAGGGTTTCTGTAAATTTGCCGGCGAAATCATGGATCTGCATAGAAAGAGGCATTACCATGACCATTCACCGCCTTCGACCTCAGACTCTCGCAAGAAGTGCCTCGCTTTTTCCCATAGATCACCTTATCAGTACCACGATGGTCAACACCAACTGCCCCAACAAAAGTGTCCCACCTTCGTCTCGTACCTTGAGGTCCCAACGCTGTCTCCGAAGATCAAGACGCTATGTGAAATCGTCTCCAGTACCCCTTCCCTGGACGTCGAGAAAGTCCTCGATGAGGCTGGGATTCCGATCACTCAAGAAGACGTCGAAGAAGTCCTCAAATTGTCTTACGGGTTTCCGGGTTCTGCGGTGAAGTTCTTCCGATGGTCGGGGTACCAGCTCAAGGACAACCATAGTCCCTACTCTTGGAATCTGGTTGTGGATTTATTGGGCAAGAATCTCTTTTTCGATGCAATGTGGGATGCTATTAAATCTATGAAAAAGGAAGGGCTGCTTTCGCTTGCGACTTTTGCTTCTGTTTTCAGTAGCTACGTTGCCGTAGGCCGTGTCCAGGAAGCGATCATGACTTTTGATGTTATGGAGAAATATGGGTGTCCACGGGATATTATTGCCTTAAATTCGCTTCTGAGTGCCATTTGTAGGGAAGGCAGGACCGTGGATGCGTACGAGTATTTGCGCATTGCCAAAGGGATTATTAGGCCAGACCCTGATACTTATGCTATTTTGTTGGAGGGATGGGAGAGTGAACGGAATGGTACTAGTGCTAGGCATACTTTCGCAGAGATGGTGATAGAGATAGGTTGGGATCCAAGTAATGCACCCGCTTATGATTCCTTCCTGTGTACTTTAATTAGGGAACCCAATGGGATCCATGAATCTCTTAAATTCTTTGATTCCATGAGAGAAAACAAGTGTTACCCGGGCATGAAATTTTTCAAGGTTGCCCTGGATGAGTGTGTCAAGTGTCATGATACCCGGGTTGCCGAGATGCTCTGGGAGATAGTGGTGGAGAGGCTGGGCTTGAAACCCGATCCACGTATGTGCAATGCCATGATCGCTTTGTACTGTTACCGAAATGATATAGATACGGCAAAAAGAATGTTAGACGATATGGTTTACAGAGGGGCATTTCCTGATTCATTAACTTATAACTTGTTATTTCGCTTCTTGATCAAGGGCAGGAAACTGCAGGAAGCTTCGCTGCTTTTCACTGAGATGATAAAAAATGAGTGTGTTCCCGACCAGCCTAATTGTGAGACAGCTGTTAGAATTTACATAGATAGCCGGGATCCTAATATGGCGATAAGAATTTGGAAATGCCTGGTGGATAATTTCAAGAAGGATCTGGAGGAGACAGCAAATTTATTGGTCGTAGGACTTTGTGATCTAAAGAGAGTGCCAGAAGCAGTTAAGTATGCAGAGGATATAATTGACAGAGGAATAAAGCTAACATCTTCCTCATTGGCTAAGCTGAAGCAAAGCCTTGTCAAAGCAAGAAAAGAATTCGTGTATGAGGGACTTGTGAGGAAGTGGAAGACTCACGAGGTAGTTAGACTTTACTGAATTTATGCATGTAAAAATCAGCATTGAAATTTTTGCTTGTCTCTGCTGCACTCGGACGTGCTTGGCCAAAACTATATGCAGTCAGTTTAAAATTCTGCATAAGTACGGTATGGTTTGATCATGGTCTACTCTGGATAAGTATAGTCCTATTGTGAACTTTGGTTTAGTTGACCTTCGTGGTTTTGACTTTTGAGTTTACGTTCTGATGCTAAAACCGCCACAAATAAGTGGGGATAAGCTGTCTAGTGGATGGAGATTTATGATGGCGTTACTGAATTAGAATGATGTTGTTCTGTTCCCTTTTGTTCTCTTCTTCCCCGATACAATTTCCACTAGGGAAGAGGAATGGCTCATTCATATTGTGAAGGTTGCATAGTCTGCAACAAGGCATCCTATGGCTGTAGGGTTGTGCTCGCTGAGCACTACTCTTACAAGTCGAAACAGCTTATGCTCTGATACTGTATGTTGAAAAGTGAAGCTTTTCACTTCTTTTTGGATAAATTGACAGATAGGATTCATCGGAGGGACAGAGAGATAGCATTGATGCTGTTCCTATGGTCTTCTTTACATGTTTTTCGGCCTGAGTCTTCTTTACATGTTTGACCTTGTATTTGGAGATCCTTTTTCAGCTGTTAACCTTCTGACCTGTTTTTGTGGCTTCGAACGATATGCAAGTTGAAGTGGAAACTACATAACAATCTCTATATCCTGGTCTGCCTTCTGCATGCTAATCCGGCATGAATTGTCTAATTGCATTAAGCTGGGTGAATGATTGAAAATGCAGGACGAGTTATGGATATAAACATTTATATGTCGACATCGAATATCAATATATCAATTATTATAAAATATGAAATTCATATTAAGTCTGACTAGGAAAGAAAATATGTTGGGCCTTTATGAAGAGCCTATGACGTGACCTACTTTAAGTCTTGTCTAGCCTATCTTTATTCAAATAAGCCATACTCAGGCCCATTCCTATTGCCAAACCTATTCAGGCTGAGACAACAAGCCTATTTGCTTAAAACACGGTTATTTATATATTTATATATATATATATATATATCTCTGTTTTTTTTCGTTTTTTGAATTTGAAGGGCATGCACTCACTGCGGAAAATCTCTGCTTTTTTTTTTTTTTTATGAAAAGAGAGTGATGACAACATTCATAATGAATAAATTATTTATAAAGCTACCATCTTAGTCTTTACCATGAGTTTTATGATTCATCATTTATTCACAGGTTTAATCCTTTCGTTCATCAGCAGCTCACCTCTCTAATGCTAACTCATTCTCTCTCCGGCTGTGTCATTTTCTGAAGGATCATAATTGTTATATCCAACAAGCCTATTTGCCTAAAACACGCCTATTTTTATCTCTTTTCTTTTTTTTTCTTTTTTTTTTTCCCTTTTGGGGGGAATTTGAAGGGCATAAACTTATAACAGTTATTATCCTTCACTAAATGACACAGAGCCGGAGGGAGAGTGACTTAGCATTAGAGAGGTGAGCTGCTGACGAAGGAAAGGGTTAAACCTGTGCATAATTCATCTTATTCTGGATTCTTAGACGGACAACGATTTCTTTTTTCTTCAAGATTTATAGAGTACAAACACGCACATGAATATGTTAATGTGAGACTAAAAGATATGTTGAATATGTTAATGTGAGACTAAAAGATTTTTTATATTTTTTCAATTCTTAATACAAGACTTATTTAATTAATTTAATTAGATTAAGAAAGTAAAATAAATTAGTTGATTATAAAAAATATGATATATTTTATGTTTCTTAATATCTTTTTTTATCTCCTACTTAATTATGATTTGAAAGAGAATCACTAAAAGTATTTTAAAAAAATAATAAATATAAAAAACATGTTTTATATTACCTCCGGTCCTTAATATAGGACTATGTTTGACTTTTATTTTGGTCCTAAATATAAGACTTCAATCCACTTTGTCTCTCATATTTATATATATATTTTTCAAAGTAGCTCTTCTAACAATGATAGTTCTAGTTAATACACTTGATTAGTAAGGATATTTTAGAAAAGACAACATCTATTTAAAACAAATAACTAACTCAACTTACTTCCTTAATCTCCTCAAATTAGTCAAATGACTTTTATAATTAGGGCCGTAGATAGTATTTATGATCAAAATGGACTCAAAATATAAGGACAAGAGGAGTACTATATTTTTCATTTATTGGATGCTTTTTTTTTGGGGAACATGGCAAATAAAGACTCCCTATATATGAAATTGCTATTTAGGACCTTCAAATTGAAAAATGGCTTCAGAGGACCCAATCCCATATTGCAAATATGAAATCTTAGTAAAATGTTTGAAATACCTCTTAGGCAAGTTGTGATTTGGTCTACTGAAGTTATTATTCGGTAGAGTGAATTTGTCATTTCCCATAGTCAATTTATCATTTGGCATTCCCTTAGCCATGTTGTGATTTGACCTATTGAAATTGTCATTCACTAAAGTGAACTTGTCAATTCCATAATCAACTTGTCATTTAGTATACATGAGTTGTGATTTCAGACATTTCACCAAGATTTTATATTTGTAATGTGGGACCGGGTCTTTATTTCAGATATTAAGGGTCTTTGTTTGTCATTTTTTCTTCCTTTTTCCATCAATATTTAGTTTTATATTTTCTCTATACTGAAAAATATTAATTATTTTCTAGACTTCAGAAAGTATTTTACTAATAAAGATGACGTCATATAAAAATAAACGTTAGAGTGCAGTGGAATGAATGGTTCCACAGTAGAGAGAGTCGACACATGACTGGAGACATCAGAAGCAGAGCAAGCATGGGTGCGCGGGCTGTCAGTGGGGTTTGTTGCGATAGGGTGCGTTGGAAAGGCACCGAACTGCAGGGCAGCCCCATTTCCATTCCAACAGTCGAGCATGCTTCCTTTATTTTATTCGTCCATTTGCTTGCGAAGTGTAGTCCTCGTTCCCTTATTTTCATCCTGATCTCACCTTCCCCCCCTCTAATTCAACTTTTCTTTTATTTGCCACAGGAACATTACTTTCAATTATTTTCATCTCGTCCCTTTTTCTCTGTCCTCTCGCAAAATTCTCTCTCCCTCCATTCAAGCAAAGCAGCTTTAACCTTTTATTCTCGCTACTTTTTCTCTTTTATGTTGCTAAACCAGTTGTTATTTTCTGGGTTTCTGTGCTATTGATGGGATCTACTTCGTGATGGGCTTCTCTCATCCAAAACCAACCGGGATTGCCTCTTGTGAGTCTTCTAATGCTCCGTCTTCTTCCCATCTAGTTTCAGATCGCTACTGTAATCACAAGCTCAAATTTAGGACCATTCTGAGAAAAATGATCTGGGAGCTTGGCTTTGCCTGCGTTGCCCTGCCTCGCCACCTGCCAAGCTTCGGTAAAAACGACGGCGACGGTTATAGAAAGACGAATCTAGAGCACAACAAGGCGTGGTTGCTTGCAGAGTCTGATGGGTGCGGAGCAGAGGTGACGAATGCTGACCCACAATCTGTTCACTCGTCTTTCCGTTTCAGTTTCTGTTCTCAGGTTGAGCTCGAATCCTGGAGCTTGAATTCTTCCGCTGCTGCAACCGTCTTGATGGTCAATCTGGACGATAGAATGAATAATGCTCGAGCTCGAGAGCTGAAATGTCGGAGGATCGAGTTCTTGGAAAAAAGCATTTCCCCTGTAGCCAACACTTTGATCAGGTTCAACTACGGTGAAATTCTATCTGCTACTCGCAATTTCTCCGAAGGTAAAGTTGGTCGGCCGTTCTTGCTTAACTCGGATATTATTCCAGGCAGGAGATTGTAATTCTATTTCTTGTTTGTTCTTCTGTTTCCCTTTTACTTGTTTTGGGTAGGAAGAGTATTGGGGAGAGGAGCCTTGAGCTGTGTATTTAGGGGTAGAGTTGGGCTTTTGAGGACTGCTGTAGCAATCAAACGATTAGACAAGGAAGACAAGGAATCTGCGAAGGCATTCTGTAGAGAACTGATGATTGCCAATTCTCTTCATAGCCCAAACATTGTTCCCCTTGTGGGCTTTTGTATTGACCCCGAGGAGGGTTTATTTCTGGTGTACAAATATGTCTCCGGGGCAGCCTAGAGCACCATTTGCATGGTATTTCATTTCTCATTCTCATCGAACCCTACTTTACGAGGTCTTCGGTTGAAATTTGACGATATTCACTTATTCTAGGATATCTATTTTGCAGAAAGGAAGTGTGTGAAGGGTAGTTCACCACTTCCCTGGCCTGTGAGGTATAAAGTTGCCATTGGAATTGCAGAAGCCCTGGCTTATCTGCATAACGGAACTGAAAGATGCGTTGTTCACAGAGATATTAAACCCTCAAACATTCTTCTTTCCTCCAAAAAGACTCCTAAGGTGAGATGCATTCTTGCAGATCAATTGTAGTCTGATAATAAACCCATGCACGCGACTTATTTTGATTGTTCATCTTGTTAAATCACAGTTATGCGATTTTGGATTAGCTACATGGACTACTGCACCTTCAGTTCCTTTCCTCTGCAAAACAGTCAAGGGAACATTTGGGTAAAACCTAAACCTCACCGGTCTTGTTCTGCCAAATGTCTATCCTCCACCCCCTCTCCTTTTTTCATTTTTTGTTTTCATACACAAATGAATGAAATAAAATTTGTGCCTTTGCAACAGTTATTTGGCTCCTGAATATTTCCAACATGGAAAAGTATCTGCTAAGACTGATGTTTATGCTTTCGGAGTTGTTTTATTAGAACTCATAACTGGCCGGAGGCCAATAGAAGCAAAAAAGCCACCAGGAGAGGAGAACTTGGTCTTATGGGTGGGTGATGCTTTAATTCTTGCATTGTTGCCCTAGCTTCTGATTCTATGTTGGTTGAATTGATTTTTATTGTGGATTGTTGGGGGGAAAAAAAGAAAAAAAAAACATTGAGCATAACCTTCTACTGCCATCAAATAGTCCTGTCCATTAACTCATCCGAAGCAAGAATGCCCTTCAAATTAGTTTTTCGTTTCTCTATCAAACAGTACAATATTTGATGAATGGAACTTTCTTTTATCCCTTATCAGATAGAGAAAACTGAGAATTGGCCTTTTATCTGATACATGGATCAAAATTGCTTGATAAAATATAGATTTCTGATGTGTATAACTAGCTAGGATAGTTTATATGTTCATTATAATGATCACTCAGGGGAAATATTGTTCTTTCCTTTTAATCTGTCAGAATAAAGCAGATATCAGATAGCATTGGCTTGTTCGCTAGAATTTATAGATTAGAGACTCTAGGGGTTGTGTTTGGCAAACATGAAGTAAGAACCATGTACTTTGAAATCAATGAAGAACTCAGTTACGTGCTTTGCTGTATTGAAAGCGAACTATGACTTTTCCGTCATAGCAGAAAACTCCATACAATTTTTGGGTAAATTTTTGTAATGGTAATTTCAGAGCAGCATTTAATTCGGTACTTATGCAAAGAATGGTAAAAATCAAACGGAAAATTGACTTGTTGACGCATATGCCATCGGAAATTAATATGCAGGCTAGACCCTTCCTGCAGAAGGGGAAGGGGGCCATTGAAGAGTTGCTGGATCCTCGACTCAAGCGCAGTTTGAGATTCTCAAATCAGATGGCTCAGGTGATAGAAGCAGCAGCTGCCTGTGTTACGAATGAAGAATCTCGGAGACCTGGAATACAAGAGATTATTGCAATACTGAGAGGCCAAGAAGAACGTGTCTTGCCTAAAAGGAAGAAGTCTGGTCTACTTGGGAATGGGTTGGTAGTTGATTGCTACCCTCAACTACACCAAACAAATAACGAGATGAAAAGACACTTGGCTCTAGCAATGCTAGGAGTTTCAGAGTTTGAGGATGATGATTATCTATATGGCCGTTGAAACACGACAAGTAACATGTGGGTTTTTCTTAGTTGAAGGTGTTAGATGTGAAGATCTTGAAATTGTAAATAGAAAAGGAAACTCAAAAAATTGTTTTGAGTGTAGAAGCCTTGCGTCTTTCTTTCTATCTTACAGGGTAAAAGAGCAAATAAATTCATTCCAAGTTTATGGTGGCCGTTCAAATCTTGTAAGTTATGGGCTATCAAGATCGAGAGTGCATGTTTTAGGCAAAAATGTGTCGATACTTGTAAAGATTTTGATTTGCAAAATTACTGTGGCATCTTCTTTTAACAGGTAGAATGTGCCAGGCAGGCAAGCTGAAAATGCATCCGCCAGATATACAAATGCAAATGGGTTCCGATGAGAGAATCCTAAAGAGGAAACATGTTTACATGATGGTATATAGAGGAGACAAGACATGCACAAAAAACAGCGGATTTGGTGGTGTTAATTCCTGGTGGCGCATAACTCTAAACAGGAAGCTAAGAAAAGATTGAAATTTAAAAAAAAAAAAAAAAAGAGTTAAAAAATCTTGGCAACGTCCTTGACCAGACCACGGTTGACTCTAGCGAATTCCGTGAATTCTTCGTAGGAAATGAAGCCATCTCCGTCGGTATCAATCTCCTCCATCATCGTTTGGATTTCCTCTGCGGTAATTTGCCCCAGTAATTTCAGGGATTCCGCGAGCTCTGCCGCTGAGATTTTGCCATCGCCGTTTGTGTCAAAACGCTTGAATATTCGATCTCTGTCAGCAACATGCTGGGGATCATCAGCCATACTATAAATTATAACGGGCACCAGGTTTTTGCTTCTGGAGTTGACAGTGAAGTGAGTGTAAGATTGGGAGATCCGGGGGCTAATAAATGGGTTTCCGTTGCTTTTTAAGGGCATATGCCAACATGGTCATCCTTCAGCATCGGAAAACCAACGATCAACAATCAGACATTAGCTTCCATAATTAGGATCGATCGTTTTCCATAGGTCTCCCGAATTTACTAATTTAGTTAAGTTCGTTACGGAGTTAAGGTTGTTACGGTTGGACTTGATATTGCTTTTTTTCCTTTTTTTTTTTTAATTTCGAGGGTGTGCATGTGTTGGTTCATGCAGCGAGCGGGCGGTTTTTAAAATAAAAAACATTTTTAAAAAACTGATAATTCAAAAAATATTTTTATTTTAAATTTTATACACATCAAAATATCTCTTTTGAAGAAACGAAAGTACAATAGAATTTAATCTAAATTATTAAAATTTGATCTAGACAATGTGCTAGAGTTATTTAGCACTCATCAGTTGTTTGGCACCAAAACTCATTACAACGACAATAAAAAACCTCATTTCACTAGGTAGAGTTGGCTACATTAATCCCATCATATCATTAAACTCTATGTAAAGTTGAAATCTTTGGATATATTATTAATTAAAAGATCTCGCTCAACAATCTAAGTGTTCTCTTTGGCCTTCTCCTATCTTTTTTTAGGAGACACCATTTAATCAACACTTCTCACCGACGCATCCAAAAATCTTCTTTGTACGTGACCAAACCATTTCAAACTTTTTTCTATTGTTTTCTCATCAATAGCAATCACTTTAACTTTTTCACAGAATCATATCTTTTCTTGTATAACCACATATCTATCTCGGCATTCTTATCTTTGCTACCTCCACTTTATGGTCATATTATCCTTTTAAAACTCAACATTCATGACCATATAGCATTGTTGGTCCTAGAACAGCGCCATAAAACTTGCCTTTAACCTTATTAAGTATTTTATGATCACAAATGACTCATGTCGCTTTTCTCTATTTAAACCACTTAACCTGAATTCTATGATTAACATTACTATTGATTTCACTAGCACCAAAACTCATTCTTCTTCAACGAAAAAAATCTCTATATTTAATATCATATATTTATTATTTAGTTATCCCCTTAATTTAGTTAATATTCATGTATTTTTTATTTAAATGTTTTTAATATAATATCATAATTTTTCTAGGACTGTAACTAACCGATATTATATTTAATAGTACTTTCGGTCTTTACTATAAGACCTTGTTTGCCTTTTATTTTGGTTCTAAATATAAAACCCCAATCTATTTTCTCTCATATTTATTTTTTTTAAGATAGTCTTTCTAATAATAGTAGTTCTAACCAGTAAACTTGATTAGTAAGGATATTTTAGGAAAAACAATATCTATTTATCACAAATAACTAATTTAATTTATTTCCTTAATCTATTTAAATTAGTCAACTGTTTTTTATACTTAGAACTGGAGGTAGTATGTCACAATCGCTAATCTCATGTTTTTGTTTATTTATCACCTCCTGAGATCCTGATCCGCATACTAACCCCCACTTATTATTAATCTCGTTCTCATCATCATCGTTGTTGTCAATAATACTTGCCTTTAGAACTTATTCCTCGACTTAGTTGTACTCCTAAGGGGTTTGTTTCTTGTTTTTATTTTTTGATAAAATAACAATTTTATTGAAACACCATAATATTATGCATTAGCCGACATAACATAAAACACCTACAAAACAACACAAGCCCAAATTAAAACCAAACATAACAAGCCATGCAAGCCACACATCACATGTGAGTGTAATGTAGGAACCCAACACTGTCCTTGAAAGTAGGGGTATTTACGGGACGGGACAGAGACAGGCCCATCCCGATGAACAAGGACAGGACAGGACTTTTGTCCTGTATCCCGTCCTGATCCTATCGGGACCGTCCTGTCCCTCTTTTATTTTTTGTCCCTTTCGGTTTTGGGCCTTTATTTTTTTATTGGGACTGTTTTAAATTTCTTTCTGTTTTTTGTTGTTGCCTAAACTGAAAACTATTTTGGGCCTTTGATGTAATGAACTAAATATTAATTTTATTGTAACAAATTGGCCCGCTTCAAATATTTCTGCAGCCTTCAACAATAAAAACTAAAAGCGTAGTCCATTTTCTATGAATTCCCTGCGTTCTTCATTTATTTTCCTAGTGTCCATTCTTTTCTTTTTTTTTTTGGAACATGTATCAAATCAAATCAGTTCCTAGAAGCTAACACTCCGCCAACATGCACAAAACACAAGACCCAAGCGAGCTATTGACAATTAATATCACTCCACTCTAGGGCTTCATATTATTATTTTATTCGTTTTTAACATTTAATAATAATATATAATTATGTATTATATAAATAATTAAATATGATACAAATATTTTTTTAAAAAAAGTATACTTATCGCACGGGACCGGGACGGGACCATCCCATCTCATGCCTCATCCCGTCCCGAACTCCTTTTTTGTCCCGTTTCAAAAAATTTCGAGGCGGACCCGTCCAGTCCTAATAAGACCGAGATCGGAACAGGCCAGTTTTAAACACCCCTACCTGGAAGCCAGCCTCTACAGAACACGATGCATGAAACCACCAGACATAGCTTTGAAGCGTTGGAAAATAGCGGCAGCCAAAGTAAAGCCACGCACAAGCGTAGCGTGCTATAATTATGTAGTGCGTATTTAAAATGGTGGTAGCATCTTTTAGGAGCGCTCTTCAATTGTGAGCAACGAAATAATGAGGAGAAGAAACGTATTTATAACATTTTAAAAATTTAACACTCAATTATTCACTTGGTTCTATATTTAGCCGCTTCATTTAGCGGATTCGAACCAAATAAGTACCAATGGTTTATACTTACAAACGATTCAATTAAACAAAATTTATTTTTTGTGACATGCATAATTTATTTCCATCAAAATCCAGCGTGACCCTCTGTCTCTCTTCTCCTTAGAAAAGTACGGGTGTGTTTAGATTGACAGTAGCAAAACTAACTTCTATTCTAACTAACTTTTGTAAACTGAAATTAAAGTAAAAATCAGTTAGTGTAATGCGATTTATGTTTGAATATGTGCTTAGAAAAAGTCAGTTAGAAAAGTTAAAAGTTATTTGAATAATTAATAGAAAAATGAGTTTAGTTGTAAAATAACTGAAAAGAACATAAATTTTATTGAACAGTAGAGTTGATATTATATATTTTTAATGTGACTAGAAATGTTAGAAACCTGATCTCCACCCAAAGACCCCATGTTAAAGAAATTGTCCAATCTACCATACTAGAAAACTGTGGTCTTCCTGCCTCTTCCTCTGAACAATATGTCAATATTGACATACCTCAACCCTTGATCAATGAGTGGATAGCTCAAGGTTATACCTATCTCTATATTGGTACTGTACGCTTTATTCTTACACTTCATGGGAGAAAAGGAATTACAGCCACTGCTAAAGTTGCTCTAGTCGATACTACCTATAGTAATGCTTTGATTGGTGCTGTCCTGACCACTCTTAGTAACGGTAGTGTCATCCTTACCATGGCTCCATACTTCAACATCAAGATTTCAGATCCAACTTTGACGAACAGACTAAAAATCCAAGTCCAGATAGTTGGTGCAGAACAAGATCCCAGAGCTATCACAGCAACTCTTCATCATCAAGTCATCTACAGACTCCAGAATCATGCTCTTGATCTTCATTTTCCAAATTCCACTAAAGATGCTCTTTATGTGGTTTCTGATAGAGCTGATGATACCTCCATTATCCAAATTCCTCGACAGATCCCAAAAGAGGAGCTTGCTCAGTTGATGCCTCTTGAGTGGATCACCAACTATGAAAAACACTTTCATGGTGTGCAGAGGGATGTCCATACTTCTACTCCTCCTGAGATAAAAAGGCTTCCAGATGGCACAGTCAAAACTATCCTCACCAAGCCAGGCCAGGAAGGTTTTTCTGTACCTTCTGGACGTATTTTGACCATCACTCCAGCCTATGTTCTATCCAAGCGAGACCCTCCAATTACTTGGGTAGATCAGAATGCCAAGCCATGTTATGTGTCTCATATAAATGGCCATTTCATTTGGGATCATGCACCAGAAGAATGTGATCCTGACTGTAAGTGTGATACACCTTACTGGTGGGAAGCATCAGACAATGAAGATGAAGATGGATGGTCTTACCCCATCAGATATGCCATAAAAAAGAAGAAAAGGGAGAAAAACACATCTCCTTGTTCCTGTAGGCATTACCATCATCACCATGATGATGATGATCACGGTCCGAAACAGAAAGCTAGAGACTGGAAGGCTCCTGTCCCTACTGTTCCTTCTAGCCAATTATCTCTATAAGATCTGCTTAAAGAAACAGGTCATGAAGATCTCCTTCCTAAACAAAGGCCAGATCCAGTAATTCCCGTCGTCCAAAAATCCATCCCGTGTATAGCAATGATGGATCCTTATTAGCAGGATTTTCTTCCCCTTGAAAGAATAACCAATAGAGAAACAAAGGTTACAGCAAGACCTTTCTCTGTTCCAACAGAAATCTCTCCTACTGGTGAAGCTAAACCAGTCTCAGCAGCAGAAGAAGTTCTTAATTGGCAAACCCAGAATGCAATCAGCCAGAATAGAACCTTGACAAAGATTGATTCAAAGCTTGACCTGCTGACTCTTACAACTGATACTCTAACGAGCAGGCTTGACCAAGTCTCTGATCAAGTCAAACAGCTTTATATGACTCCGACTTCTCAGGCTTATCAACTGGATGCAGATCTGAAGTGATTTATCGAAAAAGGATACATTGGACCAGAGTTTACCAGGAAAGAGCAAGAACTGTCACAAATCCGAAAGGATTTGCAAAGAATCGAGTCACACATCGCAAAGGATCATTCACAAACCATCTATGACCCTTATCCGTCTTACCCCTCTAGTTTCCAATGTCCTACATATCCAACATCACCTCCTTCTTACCCCAGAGAATCTGATTACAGTAAGGTTTT